AGGAGGAGGGGGTGGGTTAGGGTTTAGGGGGAGGGGAAAGCGGTGGAGATTTTGGTACTTTCTGGAAAAAGAAAAATAAAAAAGATAAAATCCCCACCCCCAGGATAAAATGATGGGTAAAAAGTATCAAAGTTCTCAAACGTGGGGCAAACAAAATTCATTCGTGTGTAAACATGCATAGAACTGTCGACACAGTTCTATTAATCATATAAAGCAAAAACTCTGTTTCCTTTCCATAGACTGTATGAATGGCCCTTATAAACAGATTTAAAATGGATCCACTTAGACTTCTTAATTATTTCTGACCTGATTCCTCTTGTGACTTACAGACATTTACAAGATAGCGGATGGCTCATTTCCAGACTCTCTTGATCCTTAAGATGGCAACTGTGTCAACTTCCCTACCCTGGGGACATTGTGGACAATTGGAATCCCTGCCCGGGGAACAGACCATACAATCAATCCCCCCCCCCTCCTCTGAATGAATGCTTTATTCGAGTGTCTGTACTAAAATAACGATAAAAACATTAAATGGAGACTCATTGACTCAACTTCAGCTTGTATGTATAGTTTAAAAATCTGAATACTATTTTAATACTATTTTAACATTTGCAGGTCGTGTTGGGGTAAAAATTGTTTCAAAGAAAATTCGCCAAGCTGTTGGGAAAGCCAATCGTAGACATCAGGTAGTAATTTATAATACTGTACTAAATTTGGTTTTCTTACATGTAAGTGAGTTCTGGTTTTCACATGGTCCAGCTTATAACCCGAGTGAATGTACGCTTCAGTTAATTTAAGCTGTCATAAGTAAGTATTTCAATCAAGTTTAATCATGAATTGTAACTACACATAGAAGTTTGATTATCAAACTGTCATGTACATGTACATGTGTGTAAACTTAATGCACTAGCACTGGTTGTCAAGTTCGTGACATATGGCAACCCTAAAAGTCAGTTTTGATGACAGACTACTTGTTTACATGCATGTTGTGTTTCTGATCAGCCATGACTAATATTATTATTTTAAATCAATTGCCAACTCTGCAGAGAATTATGTGGTAATTTCAAATGATGAACAATATTTAGTGGTGGTTTTGATGAGGTTTACAAATAACAAACTAGGGCTATAATGTACATGTAAGTGTTGTGCAGGCAGAAAAATAATACCAAGTTAGGTTAGGTTAACTAATGGCCAATAGTAGTGCTCATTGTATTTGAATGTAAGGTATTGTTTCACTGTGTTTATGGCAATGGAGTGGTGGTGAATGGGAGAATTCTCTTAAGAAATGATAACTTTGAAAGTTTTGATTTTTTGCAGATAATGTAAAAGGTTCTAAAGTGTCATTGTCCATGACTTTTGTTTAGATGTTGTTTTCAATTTTATTACAGGCAAAACAAATAAGAGAGAACAGAAAAGAGGAAGTACTAGAACAGAGAAGGAAAACAGGAAAGCAAGGAAGCCCACCACATCTTATTGTAAGTAAACCTTTTGGTCTAATGTCTTACAGTATTTCAGAAAAGATCCTGAATATCCAGGATATTAAGCTCCAGGGTGTTGGCATTCATATGAGTGCTAAATATTTGACTACCAAACTGAGTTTTAACGGTTACGTATGTGTTCTGAAGTGTAATATTTATAGAACTATTACCAGTGTGATGTCATTTCTCTCATAATGTTTGCATGGTTTCATGTGTGATTAAACATTAGAACATTTCAATTTCTCTAAGGCAATTATTCCATTATCATCCAACTGTGATGCTGGGCAGGCCGTGCAGTTATTTAGTGAGTGTGATAGTGATGGGTTACTTTATCCTTCAAGGAACACAACAACCTTAGTGTGAGTAGAGCCAGCTCAGAGGTAACCACATGTATAGGTGCTTGCCTCAAAGTCCTTATTTTAGAAAATGGACTTTTTAATGAATTCGTAATAATTTATTACTGTAAGTTTTATGTATGTACTGTAAGCAGAGTTACCCTCTGTACTCTGGGCTTAAGTTGTAAGGTTGACTCAAGTGAGCACTCAGTTTCCTTGAATTCCTTGTGGCACAGGGAACAATAAATTGGCCCTCAATTTGCTCTGTAGTCTATATGTGATACAAATAGTTTGTATGTATGGAACAAAATTAATGTCTCAAAACTGTTGTAAAAAAAGAATGTGCACAACTTCAAATCAGAAATTGTCCTAAAGTTTGTTATTCTTTTGGCCAGACTAGAGTCACATGACAACAACAAAATGAAAGTGACTTTCAGTTTGCTTTCAAATTATATATGAAAGAACAACAACAATCTTTAAAAATCTTTATTTGTACTCTCTCACACTTTGATACTAATTAAACAAAAATACTAATTGAGAATGGTTGTGGGATGTTGTGTACCAGTTCTGTAAATATCAGCGATACAAAGTAGTCCAGCATTTGAAGCTGTCAGTTGAAGCTGGCCAAAACTATGTTGCCAACCTAGTCATGAGCATTCTTTGGCTTTTACCTGTACTCTTTTCCCTTAATATCTATACAGTTAATGTAGTCGTTCAGGGTTCACAAAAATGCCCCCGGATAACATTCTTGGCCTGACATCTTATTTATAACCTTTATTTACCCTTGGCAATGTTTATACCACAAGTGCTAGTGGGGCCGAGCAAACAACTGAAACAAATAATTCAAATTGAAAATAACATTGTTAAGAATCCCAACGTCTTCCAATTTTACAGCTCAACGCTGCCTTTGGTCCATTTCTGTGATAAATTCCATGCCAAAATTTTGATTTGTGTGACTTGTGTAGGCCAGGGCTTTATTAGGGTAACTACATCCAAGTGCTTTATGGGGCTGGCTCTAAAAAGCAGGTGTGGCAGCTTGTCACAAATGTTACAGTGGTGTATTTTCAAAGCATGAACATTTAGTGATCAGCAAGGTATCTTTTTCAACAGTTCTGAGCAACTCAAGCAAAGATTTTCATTCCTTCAGTTGAAGTATAGGGACTTGTACTCTGTTCTGGATGCAGCAAAGGTTTGTTCAAAATTGGCTTTAGTTAGAACTAATGATTTTAGTAATCATAATGCAATGCTTATAAGGTTGGTACATACTGAATTACTTTAGTTACATGTAAGGTATCAAATTTCCTTGAAATATTTTTGATTGGTGTAAACTTGTTTGTCAGGTTGCTGATTCTCTGCTGTTTCTTCTCTCCGCCACACATCCAGTGGATTCATTTGGTGAGAAGTGTCTGTCGTGTATCTTTGCACAAGGCTTACCAACATATTTTCTTGGATTGCAGGTACAATGTTTGTTAAATATCAGTTGTAAGCCTTTACAGGTTTTAATAACTTTCTTGCTTAGTGTCTGTGACCTTGAATACAGTGTACATGTATGTTGAAATTGTTTGAAATTCTGAATGTTGTTATTGTATGCTTGTTTCAATCTACTGCATGTGTACATATGTTTCTTTAAGGGTTTGGAGAAAATATCAACAAAGAAAAGGAATGATGTAAAGAAACAAGTTCAAAAGATAGTAGAAAAAAGGTACGCTAAATTTTAGTTTTTGGAGATGTAATACTCAGCATTTTCAGCTTAAATTATAGTAAAAAGGGTTTAATCACTAGCTGTTAGACTTTGATTTCAGTTTTTTTTAAGCTAACCATAAATAATGTAAAGGATGCTCTGAAACCAAGGATAAACAAATGAATCTTTTATGTCATAGCTGAGGGTGTGGTGGCCTCGTGGCTAGTGTGCTTACTACAAGATCGAGTGGTCCAGGTTCAAGCCCTCTCCGGGAACATTGTCCTTGGGCAAGACACTTTACTGTCACAGTGCATCTCCAGACAGGTGTATAATTGGGTACTGGTGAACTTAATGCTGGGGGTAACCCTGCAATGCACTAGCATCCCATCCAGGGGG